AGAGAATGAGAGAATGAGAGACTGGTCTGACCAGTCCCCCCGCCCGAGTCAGTCAACTGTCAAAACCTGCTCTGTGCCGTGGTGGTGGTTAGTGGGAGGGGGAGGGGGGAGGGGGAAAGGGGAAGGATCACTCGTTTGAGTCAAAGTGAGAACCGAGTAAAAGGGGTTTTCTCAATTTTAATCTTTTTTTTTTCAATTAAAAAAAAAGAAATGCATTTGGGAAGGTCAGTGTATGATTTTGACTAAGCGAGCAGTACTGTTTACTGAGTGGATATTTAGTCATGGAATGTATTGATTTGCTGGGTAAATTTCCTCGAGGTCAGTTGTATGTGTGCCGGCTTGTAGTTTTCTCTGTGAGAGATAGATGGCGTGTTAAAACATGGCGCTGGGAAGAAGAGAAGAGTGTCCTTTTTGAATTCTGGTCTTTGCTCCTGATTTTTATTCTATTGAGACTAAGTGATTGATTGTTAACCACTGTAAATGTTTTACACTCTCGCCGACACAATTTAGGTCATTTAGGAGGTGGGCAGCTTATCAGTAACAACCCGGGTAGAGTTCATTCCATCAAGAAGATGGAGATACCTGATAAAAGAACTTTCCACTTGCGAAAATCAAACATAATGTCATATTCTAGTATGAGTTCAGCGGCGACGAGTTTAACTATTGCACCAGAAGCGACGATGACCCATCAGTTTTACACATAAATGAGCACGAATACGCTATGTTGATTATTGGACGAGATAAGCTTTCAAAGTTCTATCCCCCCAAAAAGCGTTTTTGAATTTTTGTTAAACATTGTGTGCAATGGAGTTACGTGCTTTTGTCACTCACGACGTTTGACTGATCTCACGGTCATCTTCGTCTTTAAAGGCGGACTAACTCGATTTTCTGCCCTGGATGTATCATGTGATCCATGGCAGAGCTACTGGTGGTCGAGCGTTTACGTAGTGTTGTGCTATAATGGTGCTAATGGCGGACATGAAAGTGAGGAAAATAGAGACAGGAAACAAAGAACAGAAAGGATAGAGAGAGAGAGAGAGAGAGAGAGAGAGAGAGAGAGAGAGAGAGAGAGAGAGAGAGAGAGAGAGAGAGAGAGAGAAAGAGAGAGAGAGAGACGAGGCGAAGAATTAACTCAGCAAACTGAACTGGAACGTTCATCAGCGAGAATTCAAAGCCTATCGGTAGGCCTAGGCGAATCAATACCACATAAACTTTATTTAAAGCTCCGCATTCATTTCAGCGCCTGAACCAATATCGGGGCTCCCGAGGGCAACTACATGAGCTAATGTAATAACGTCTACTTTCTACGTGTTCAATACTCGGGGATGGAGTCGGTAGGGACACTTCTAGCAACATTTGTTGTTGAGCGAGAAAAGGTTATAGACATAAAGTAAAAGCAAAAAGAGCAGCGATATTTTCTCGGCATCTGCAGCAGCAGTATAGTTTTCGGTTGAACATAATATCGCGTATCTGTTTTCACGTGGTCACAGGAACGGAGTCTTTTGAGACACATCATGGCTAAACTTTTCTTGCAAGTTATAGGAAAAGTGCACTAATATTAGAGGTGACTTGTGAGACGATAGCTTTGTTTTCAACATTTTCCTTACTTGTCTGTCTAAACATGAAAGTGAACAGTAAGTTGTAACAAAAACATTTTCCTCCGTTTCAGAAATAATGACAGCCAGCGTTGACTGATAGTGATTGAGTATAACCGTAAATGTTTTGCATATAGATCCCCAAAACTTTCCTTCCAATTTAGAAGATTTTGAACGCTGGTTGCTTCGGCCAGGTCTGTGAATGACAACACAGATGGCATGAGAAGCTACCCCCTAGCCCCTCCTCTACCCCTTCCAGGACCCAAAGCAAACAGACTCTCTAAAATAACATGTGTAGGTATATGATAATAGTACAGATTTTTTCTCATGACAATAATTGAACACACGTCTTTCGCTCACAACAACGAAGTCTAAAAACTATACCACGTATGCTTGATTGATCTGGCTATGAGGTTTTTTGGGCACGAAAAAAACATTCTAAATTCAAAACATGGACTGGCCGATTTCCACCAGATATTCCTATCTTTGGGACTAGATTTAAATGCTCGGGAAACTTATATTATTAAGAATTTGCTCTTACATCGAACCAATCCCTTTCGGCGAGCTTGATTTTTGAGTATTTTTCTTTAGGGGAGGGGAGTGTAAGACGAGGAAACGGAAATGCGGGCAGAATGCCCTAGTACTAATCAAATAATACATTCAGTGGCTTGCAGGTTTAGTCTATTGGCAGTTTTTATGCTTGGTGAAGTGTGCCAATTTTGAATATTACTAGAGGTTTGTGAGAAGTAATATGCGGGATTAATTTGTCTCTTCGTGGTTGTGTCCCCTGTCTATTTTCCCATCTCTATGGCGTAGGCTGAAAGTGATATCTATTGTGGAGTTGCCGAGTGGAGGTCTCGTTCTCATCATGGTACGCAAGTTGAAGGCACGGTGGTAATTGCTTTGACATCCTAGGTGGCTGATTCTGCGCGGGCCACGGCGGTCAATGTCTTGCTCACGATAGATCTACGTTTACGTGACAAGTCTCTCGTCCATTTTCGTGAAAATGTAGGGAGGGGGGGATAGCAGTCTGACTCACTGAAATGTCAGATTTCAAAATAAAAGATGTACTTTCCCGCGTCAGACAGAGGAGTAAAAGAAAAGAGAGTGAGTCAGCGTTATTGATTCTGGTATACAGGTTCGCTTTAAGGCAGAAGGCATGATGATCAACAGAACAGGATGACATGTCGTTCTGCGTTTGAGCTTTTCCACAGAGTTGATACGTTTTAAATCTTCCCTTCAAAACCCCTTCTCCATAAGAGTTTACAAAAAATGTTAACAACAAGGCCAAAAAACATTAAAATGCCTCTGCTCTTGCTAAACAATTATTCCAGTCAATTTGATGTATAAAAAATACACACCCACGTAATTTAGCGCCAGAATAATACGCAGTGTTGCGTCTAAATATTACAGGGTTGAATGTTGCCTATGTTTTTGTATCTATTGGTTTGATATCATCGTGATTATATCGCCATGCCATGCCAAAAATCTGAAACCGACATTGGCGGTCATGGCTCGCCAATCATTTCTCTGCTCGGATGCTCTCCAAAAAACTGTGTTATTGGCGTGGTCTTCTCCTATCACCCTTTTGTTCATGTTCTGAAAGTTACTTCATTCTTCATCCATCCCTTTCTATTTTGTGTTCTATTTTTCCTCTGAGAGCGAGATTCCAGAGTTTATATGTGTCCCAGAAACTGCATGTGCCTCAACCTGATAGATTTTGTCAGTGAGCTACCCACTCGGGGTTTTTTCAGCACAACCACAATGACTGATTTCTTTTCCTTCCTCGAAATCCTTTGAATAAATATATTATTATACTTTTTTTTTTCTTATAATAAGGGAATGTTTCCCTTATAAGATCTGATTGATAAAAAAGAGATGTCATGGAATGTTACTCTTGAGAGGGGTTCGAGCCTCAGCTCGATGCGACGTTGTGTCCTTGGGAAAGGCACTTTACACGATTTCCTAATTTCCTCGGTCTAATCGGGGATGATGAGGACCCCCCCCCCCCCTTCTTAAATAAGCTATTGGTGTTGATAGGAGCGTTAAACATAATACACCATTACCATTTCCTATTGAGAAGAGTAGAATGTCGTGTGAAGAAAGGAAACTAACGAATCTGTTATTTTGTTTCAGAGTACACCCACAGGCGAGGTGACGTCACTATTCCAACCGGCGGTTGCCGAGACCAAGTGCAAGCGGCCTAGCGACTTGTTCTAATCATGGTGTACTTTTGGCAAAAGATCGCTCGTGCTACCCCAATGAGCACACCATCGCCCGTCCCTTCCTCTTCTCCTTCATCACCCCTGCCTTCGGAATCCGACTCCTCTTCATCTTCATCGTCGTCACCATCATCTTCATCGCTGTCGATTCCCTCCCCGTTATCGTCTTCATCGTCGTTAGAACGCCTGGCCGCAGTGGAGAGCTCTTCAACAAAGAAAACAAGGACTTCTCCCGGAAGTTACAGCGCGGTACCCGCGGCAGCACCATCGTCCCTTCGAGTACATTCTGGTTTCTTTACGTCCAAACCACGAAAAGGCGTAGTTGTTAACAATCATACCGCACTTCTGCCTAAAGTCGGTACTGGCTTAGGAAGCGGTGACGGCCTGTCCAACGGCACAGATCAACGACACGCACGCCACCAAAACAAAAGCAGCAGCAGTAACAACGACAACAACAGCAGCAACAACAACAACAACACAGTCCCCACGATCAACAACACTAATACAAATAGTATAAGTAACGGTAACTACAACTGCAATAATAACAATAATAATAATAACAACCACAACAGTAGCAGCGACTCCAGCGAGAGCCACAGCATTGAAGGATCAGGTGTCGGTGTCGGTGTCGGTATCGGTGTCGGTGGTGGTAGTGGTACAGGAAGTAGCGGCGGTGGTAGCGGCCACAACAAGACCCATCCCCACAATTCCCGCTCACTGACGGGGGTCCTGATGTTGGACAAGCTGGTCGAGTATTCCCGCCGAAAACAGGAGACAGACAGGCGGAAGGTGGCCGAGAGGGAACTGGAACATCTCAACCTCAAAATTGTAAGTACTCTTTTATTGGTTTTTTCTTTTACCTTTCTTTGTCCTTCTTTCTTCTTTTCCGTATTTTCCTTGGATTTTTTTGTGTTTCCTTTTTTTGCGTGTGTGTGTTTTTTTTGGGTTTTGTTTCGCGTCCCAAGTCGATGCCGAACATTTGTAAGAACAGGAACTTCAACTTGAAAAACGTCCTGCCTGTCTTAGTTTTCGTTCATTTTTCCTTTTTTTCTCTCTTGTTTTTCTTTGTTCTTTTAAGTTTATTTGTTTGTTTGTCCCGTGTTTCAATTTGGTTGCAGATATTCATAACTTATGACGTAAGAGCTGAAATATCTCGACCTAAAATTGTACTTCCCTCTCGCCTGTCTGAGTTTTCCTCCTGTTTCTCTTTCATTTTTTTGTCTCATATCCCGATTTGGTTCTGGACATTCATACATTTTAATTATGTAATAGCTGGATCAGCTTAACCTGTAAATTGTTTGTCCTGTTTCTCTTAGTTTTCGGTTTTATTTTATATTATTATTTTTTTTTCCTTAAAAAAAAAATTGTTTGTCACGCGTCTTGATTTGCTTCTTGACTTAAAACTTACTGTTCTCGACTCTCTTACTTTTCGACTGATTTTTGTCTTACTTATTTTTTATTCATTTTTTTTCATGTCCCTGTTTACTGCCAGATATTCATCAGTTATGTAAGAGCTGGAATACCTCAACCTGAACAATTATGTCATGCTTGTCTTAGTTATTCTTCTTGTTCTGTTTGTCCTGTGTCCCAATTTGGTGTCAGACAGTCATTAGCTGTGTAAGAACAGGGACATATCAACTTGAGATGGGCGAAATCCGGTTAAACTATCGGGATAACAGAATAATTCTCAATGAAACATTGTCCGAATTCAGACTCTTCACTCTCTTTCCTACCCGTTTGCCGAAGCGGGTGCACCCATTTGTTGAAGTGGTTCTAAATAGTTTGTTGACGTGGTTCTAACACATTAGCCGAAGCAGTTCATAGCATATTATTTGCCGTAGAGATGCACTAACACATTATCCAGATTTTGCTAAAAGTGACTTATTGCCCAGCCCTAATATCACCGTGACCTCTTGTACTTGTACGTCCTGTTTGTTTAAGTTTTCGTGCTTTCGGTCGTTTGTATAATATACTTGTTTGTTTGTTTGTTGTTGTTTTTGTTGTTTTGTTTGTCCCGTGTCCCGAATTGGTACCGGACATTTGTACAATAAATAAGTCTGGAACGTCTCAACCTAGAAATTGAAAATGACGGTTGTTTTATTTTAGTCCTAAGTTTTATTTTTATTTTTGTATGTTGTGTTTGTCTCTCCCATGTACCGATTTGGACCCCGTGATATTTGCATGTTGCGTACAAAATGTGACAACATCGTTGTACGCCCGTAAATGTTATCCTATTTTTTGCTTTTTGTTATATCTTATTTTGTCTTACAAAAGGAATAATTTGCAGGTCAAAGACCAAATCATTTTTATTCAAGCTATTGTTACCGAAGGTTTGGGTTTTTTGTTGTTTTTGTTTTCTTTTTTTTGGGGGGGGAGGGGAGCGAGAGATTCCTTTTTCTCTTTCCCAATCCTACCCTGATGATGCCATTAATTAATCGGTCACTATAATGTTATGAATGTGATGTATTAGCTATAGTCAACACAAAATAAAGACAACGTTAGTTTTGCAAATGGGAGTCGGTAAATGTTTTAAGTTTTTTTTTATTCTTCTTTTTTTTGGACGTTTATTTTTCATTTGTTTTTTTTTAAAATTACGTCTCACTTGTTCCACGAAGAAAGTCGGAAGTTTTTCTTGAGAAGAGTAGGTTCAAGGAAAGTTATCCGAACGGTATTGAGAACAGCCAAACGATATTATTTTTTCAGCTTCTGTGCACATCTCATCTTCTGTCTGCTACCTCCCTATTGTGACCCCCCAGCAGCCTACAACATAACTTAATGAGTCTAGAACGACGTCCTTTTATTTGAACAAACTGGTTCCATCTCTCTTACTGTTTACCAACTATCTTCCCCTGTGCCCCCCCC